GCGACGAACCTTTTCACGTCAGCTGTGATGTCTGGCCAAAAGAACTCCTCTGAGATCCGGTCCTTGGTTTTCTGCGTGCCCAAGTGTCCTGCCATTATACCATCGTGTGCCGTTTTAAGCACAGCTCCTCGGTGGCAGCGCGGAACGACTAATTGGCGTACAAGCCGTCCGTTGGCCTCTGTGTACTGTCGATACAGCAGTCCCTGTTCTTGTTTGTACTCTATGATTCCCTTCTCATTTCGGCATGTCTGCTTCCTGCCGATCTTCTCAAAACACTGTTTGAGTGTCGCATCTCCCCTCTGCTCGCAGCCATAGTTATCTCCCGGCAATCCCGCCGAGGTCCCAGGTGTACGAAGCTTGGCAAATTTTCCCGGCTGTGCGTGTGCTTGGGAACGGGTTATAGCTGCTGCCACAGGCTCTTCTCTTAACTCCTTTCTCGCGACTGGGTTTTCAGTCTGCTTTCTGGGATCATTAGGAGGTCTTACGCCCTCGATATTGCCCAGAATGAGGTCATACAGTGGATCTTGCAGATATAGTGCTGTCAGATTGCCAGTAAAGTAGGGGGTGTCCACCTCAATCCGTGCTTCGGGCAGCATCCTCGCTGTTCCGTCAACCAAGTAGACGAGTCTGCTTGTACCTGTCAGCTCGTCTTCCTTCACCAACTTCCTCCGCACGATTACTGTGTTGCACCCCGTATCCCGCAACACTGGTATGTCTGTGCCTCGGAGGGTCCCTGTGGCCACTGCTAGGTTCTCGGCCAGATTTTTCGGTGGTGTCACCCTTACGGCGTTGACGACGGGGACTTTTTCGCCATTCCCAATCTCGACATACCTGTCGCATATGGGATCCTCACGCGTTTCCCTTGGTGCGTAGAGGCAGGACGCCTGGAGGGAGTTATTTGCTCCTGACCGGCAGTCGTTTGCCCTATGTCCTTTTTTCCCACACTTGAAGCAGACGATGGCTACATTAGCGGCAGGTCTGTTGCGACACAAGTGCGGTGGGTGATTCCCACGATTGCAAATATAGCACCGTGGTAGTGGTGAGTGGCTGTTGCCTCCTTTTTCGTATTTCCCCTTTTTGTCCGTTATGGGACCATCTTTCTTTGTTTTCGCTAGGCTTGCTCCACCCTGTGTTTCCAAAAACTGGTCTGCCAGCTCAAGCATGTTTTTCAGAGATTCCGTCCTCCTTTCTTTCAAATATAATGCCAGGTTCGAACCACATCCATGCAAAAACCTCTATCTAATCAAAAATGCTCGGAGGGACTCGAATTCTGTCTCAGTTTTGGACAGCTCAACCCATCTATCAAAGTAGTGTCTTAAGCGAGCCGCGTACTGTGTTGCTGTTTCACCCCCTACTGGCCTCTCCTTATTTAAACTTGTCTCGGAACCCATCCGCCGTGAAGCGAAAGCGCTTCAGGAGGGCGGTTTTAACCTTGGTGTAGTCCACTGCATCTGCAGGCGGTAGCCTGCCATAAACACTTAGCGCCTCTCCTTTAAGACATGTCGTAAGCGCCGTCACCCATTGGCTTTCAGGCCACTTTTGCCCTCTGGCGATGCTCTCAAATCGGCGTATAAACGCATCTAAGTCGTCCCTTCCTTCGTCAAAGGTGACGAGCAGTCTACCTGCGTGTATTCTCAAACTCGGCTCCTCCCCGGCATCGCCGTGCTCACTGCTGGATCTGCTCACACTGCTACTCTCATTGAGGCGAATCTTTAATTGCAGTAACTGCACTTCCCGTTCTCCGGCTTCCCTAGCCTCTTCCCTTGCCGCTTCTCGTTCTCTCTCCCTTTCAACGCGTTCTCTTTCCTTTTCTTGGCGCTCTCTATCCTTTTCTTCGCGTTCTCTTTCCTTTTCTTCGCGTTCTCTCTCCCTTTCTTTTTCCTTTTCACTACGGGCCAGTGCCCGCTCTTCTCTGGCTAACGCCTGCGCCTGTTCCTGCTGCTCCTTAACCCATTGTCTCAGTTCGGCGCCCTCGAGGCCTAACTGTTTACCGTGTGCGATCCACTTATCAAAATCCATACACTCCATACTGCAAATTGTCACTATAATGCCCCTATAAAACGAGCGCAATCTTATGCAGGATGCAACCGCTTCAACTGTGCGGCTCTATCACCACGCTGTCCGCACGGTTCTCGTTCACCCCTCACTGTCCTACTCTTGTACGGAACGCCCTGTCGCGGACGCCAGTTTTGTTACAAGCTGCCACTCTAGCGTCGCCAGCGCGAAGTCGGCGACGGGAATGACAGCAGGTTGGTTCGTTCCGTACGCAAGCAGAGGCAGTGAAGAGATCAGAGACGTGAGAAAACAAAACAACTTTACTCTAGTGATATTGCAGCACACGGGATCTAATACAACACTTCAATACAACGAACAAAATACATCGACACTTGATACAACTAAAGAAATATATAACAGAACAATAAATCAGCTTACTAGAGAGAACTATTACCAACTACACAAACTAACAAGAATAGAACGACGGAGGAGAAAGTTCGAAGATATAAACAGGTGAAGGCATACGTGTGATGACCGGCAGCGTGGTGTCCCCGACGATCGGATGCGAGAAGTCGAAGAGAGTTCTGGCACGACTGCGATGTCGGCGGTGTTGCAACGCTGGTGGCTCCGGGAGGCTAGTGCTTCAAGGTGACTTCGAGCAGGTTGAGCTAACTCGAGGCGAAGTCCCGATGTCTACGTTGCAGACGTTAATATCGCGTCACAACTAGACGAACGGCTATGTTTAGGTGGCCAGCCGATACATAGCCACACTAAAAACTTCTAGAAGAGATGCTTGTTGATCTGTTTCTACACCATCTTGGTCAGCGACTAGTCTGCCTAGCAGGGCAAAATCCTGCGCTTAAATCCCCCTCGTGTCTCCTCGCTCTCTTCCTTGGAGACAAGAGACCTCTACATGGGTCCAATCATGTGCGTTTAGTTGACGGAAACTCCGCCCCAAAAATATTTTGACCCCACCCCTTTTTAATTGGGAGAGGGCCCGCAACTAGCGAGAGTGACAACCTGTCGGGTTGTTGTCATACAGCTTGGCCACCAGAGCGTTTCCCACGCTTTTCTCCGTGGGAACGGTCAAACGTTTGGTTCTCAGCGGTGCGTCTTGTAGTCTAATCCTTGTTCGAGGTATACCGCGGCCTTCTACGACCTTGCAGACGTCGCCACAGTTACAAAAGGATTAACTGTCGGCGGCGACGTTCTAAGAAGAGCACCCCATTTTGCACTTCTCGGCTCCCTTTCATGCGCTGCCGTTTCTCACGGTCAGTCGGGGAGTACGGCGCCCGTTAATTGCCGTGACGCGGTGTCGCCAAAAATAGCCGTCCGTGACAGTGATAGTGGCCTGAATCCTTCTTTATTGTCTGCGATTGCACGGTGCGATAACATCGGGCTGGGATCAGGCATGAATCGGAGGCGAGAGAAGTGCACATGGTGTCGACGCGACGGTATCGTTGTCACGCTCCGTGTTCATGAGCATTTACGGCAATGAAGAAGTACGGGCAGCAGCAGGTATATGCCATAAAATATGTGCGATAACGTTCCCGGCGTGCGTCGTGATCTTCGCTTGTTTCGTCTGCCTCTCAGCTTGGCTGTTACTAGGTACGAACGCCATCAATACTAGAGAGTTTTAGCAGAGCGGGCCAGCGGCCAGCGGAACGGAGCGGACCAGCGGAAACGCCACTGCGCATGCGCCAGTACGCTGAGGCGGCGAGCGGCTTACGGCGCTGCGCGCTCGCCCGCTCGTTTCGTGATCCCAGCGCAGCGCGCAGCGGCGGCCGGGCGAGCGAGCGTAGTTATTCAAAATGGCTGCCTCCAATGGTCGCGGTGTCGCGTCGCCGGCCGTGGTCGCATCGAACGCTTCTGAAACAAAAATGCAACCAGCTAAAAAGCCCCGGAGGTGCTTCAGTGCTCACGAGGACCTCTGTCTTCTTCGGGAGGTGGCCGCGGCGAAGCCGTTTGGCGATGACATCAAGTGGGTGCATGTTCTCGCTGCGGTAAATCGGGCGGTGGGCCGGGAGCTCACCCTAAGAAGTATAAAAGATCGTGTAGACATTTTGCTGGGATACTGGAAGCTGCAGAACTCCAAACCACCAAATTGGCGCAGCACCACAACACATAAGACAACACCTCCACAACATAGAGAAACATCTCCAGTGGGATCACATTTCCTACACGTAAACTCAAATACAACTTTATTTAAAATTCAATGGTTCAGACTCTAGGACGCCTAAGGTTGTAGATTATTTATTTATTAGGAGGTAACGGCAAGACATCACTGCGCACCAGCATTTTTCCTGCGACGAGGGGTCTAAAACGGGTAGTTCCAGCGAAAACACGTTCGGCTGGTTAACAATTTTGAAAACTGCTTTTCAAATGTAAGTGTATGTCTTGCCGGAACAATACGGGTAATTTCATTGAAAATGAGATACTGTCGTGTTGTACCTAGAAGTCCTCAGGTAATAGAATCTTAATTCTTTGATAAATTCTCGGCTTCATTGCATCTGTCATGTTTTTTTTTTTAAGTGTGAAAGGATCCAGCGTCAAGTGTAAACCTGACAACACCATACGGTATGCAATTCTTCAATAAAGTCTTTGTTTTCGAAGCTGCTTGTCATCGAACATTACCGTGGGGCAAAACGAACCTCGAGAACTGGTGGTTCAAGGCCCAAGTGTAGGGATACGTCGACACTGTACACACATTTCGCACTGTACAGAGGGGACTTACATGCATGGGAAATTACATGACACTGCCAGTAATGTTGTGGCATTTAACACAGTATAGCGGAAACGCTTGTAACAATACGTAATCAATTTCTCCATACGAAGAAACACAGGAATGTCAGTTTTTTTTGCACTTTTCGCTCAGCAGATTTCATTCACTAGAGTGTCATAACAAGTAGCGTACGTTTAGTACAGCAAATGACAGCCACAAGATCATTTTAAAGCATGGCTCGCCAACGAACTTTGTTTCGATAACTGTGGTTGGTTGTACAACACTATTTGTGGGCAAGGTAAACTTCAAGCTGTGGTGGTTCAAGGCCGAAGTACTGCGATACCTGGGCACCATACAAGCAAGTGTGACAGTTTGCGAGGAATGCGCTCGCTTTGTATATGCGTGGAAGGTTCTGAAGGTAGAGTTTCTGGTTTTTTTTTTTTTTTTGAAGTCCGCGAAGGCAAACAGTCCGACAATTTTTCCGAAACCCCACTCCACAGCCTGCCTCACACTACTCATGGCTTTGTTGAAAGCTAATTGTTCAGGAGTCAGGAGAGCTCCGCCATAGGGCTTGAGCAGAAGGGGCCGCAACGGGTAGGCAGGGTCCCCGTAGATGCAGCAGTCGTGACCTTGAACGAGGTTTTGTAGCTTCGTATACGCGGCGCTGTTTCCAAAGTTACCTGAAAGAATAAATTACGATTAGCCGGAGCTGCGCCCGTTCCTAGCAGGGAAGGAGGAGGCGAGTGACGTTCAGCAGCGGTTTGATCCACCAGCTGTGCTTGTCATTTACTCGCCTGAATCGTGTTTGCTGCCGGGGTATGATCCGTCCAACTGGCAGATTATGCCATTTGGGCACATTATAGCTTGGTACTTCAGGGCGTGGACTCTCTTGTGGCCGCTGAAGTACACTTTCTGGTTCCTTGTTGGTCGGCATATTGGCTGCGCCGTGCCATCGATGAAGGCCCAGCAATTTGTCAGCGGGGCACCTTTCGCGTGAACGGCCTGAAAAAATACCGAACGAATATGTCAGAAAGTTGTAATTGCAAATGTACAACTCTAATTATTCTCGCTTGCCTGTGAGAACTCTTCCAGGGTGTCCAGGTTCAGCCACGTGTGGTTATTAACGTCGTCCAGAAGGTGGAAGAAGTTGTCCTCAATGTGCCTGAGCACTTCGTTCGTCAATGACGATATGGTCGAGCTGTCTCGGGCGAAAAGGTGTTCCAGATCGCGCAGCCGGTTTGGGTAGGCTAGTCTTCTTAGCGTGATGCAAAGGGCCTCGTCGCCGGGAACTGACACCCTCTGCGGAGTTGTTACCTTGTCAGGTATGCACAAGGCTCTCTGTAGCCTGGGTACATCGTCCTTTTCCAACCGAAAGTACGTTCTGAACACGCCACTGTCGATCGCATCAATGTCCAAAAGACCCGCATGGAGAGTGGGTCACGCCGTGTCTCGCCCAGAACTTCTAAGCACAAGACGTCGACTATTTCGGACCATTTCAACCGAGTCAGGAGCAGGGGGTCCTGCAGTATGCTCTGGGGCATTGTTCAAAGCAGTTATCATCGGCAATTTGCAGCGGCAAGCCACACACTGTCTCTTAAAAAGCGCGGCAACAAACAGCTGGCTTGGAGCTTCGACTTCAGTTGGCTTGGTGACGTACTTTCCTCAGTTTAACGACTTCGCTAAAAGATACAAATCACCGTTAAAGTAAAATAATAAGTACTGAAACATAAAATTCGTGTTTGTATTGTTATTTTAGCATCTAAAAATAAACCTTTACTTTTTTTTTCCTATCAGGGTAGTTCAAATTTGAATGGACAGATGGCGCAGTACAACGCTTCGCTGGGGGCAGCAGCCGATCGCTCAGCTAAAACTCTTTTTTTCGCGCGTCGTTCCGCTGGCGCTGCGCTCGTCCGCTCCGGTTCGCTGGCCGCCGGCCCGCTCTGCTAAAACTCTTTACTATGTTTAGTGCGTACTGGATTTGTCATTGAAGCCTTAGCCTAACGTTTCTGGCATTGGGCTGTTCGGTGCAGAGACCTTTTTAGATGCGGAGCATCTAATACTCGAGGCTTGTAGTGCGGCGCCGTCCGCAAGCTTCCTCCTCCTTCTTCCACCATCTGTGCATCCCTTCCTCCTCTACACACCGCGCGCGCTTCACTCCTCCACCATCTGTGCACCCTTCCTCCTCTACACACCCAAGGAGGATTAAAAAAATTGCTGGAGTGGAAATGATTGCGCAGATGTGAAGCCTTTCCTCTGGCAAGATGGCGGCTGTGGCGGCCATCTTACTAGGGGCATGATAAAGTGTCGCCGTTCAGCGATCGAAAACGAAGCGTTTCCCTCGCACGCCCAACGAGTTTAATGCAACCAACATTTTTGGGGTCTCATAGTGCTCCAAGTGCGTCTTGAAGTCACTAGTTTTCCGTAGTGAGCCTCTAATTGGAGGCAAAGTTCTTTGAAGATTCAGTCATCCATATTTGTTTCTGAGTGTTATTTCGTCAGGAACAACCATCCTTTATTATAGAACTACCGTAGTATTTACATAACGTATCAAAGCCACTTGATCTTTAAGCGGGCACTATCAGAAAAGAGCATGTTCTCGCCATCTTGGCAGTGGCAATAGGTGGCTCCACTTCTGCTGGCAAGGCATCGCAGGAGCTTCCACTCCAGCAACTTTTCTTCAATTTTCCTTGTACACACCGCGTGCGCTTCTCCTCTTCACGAACATTCGCTAGCTGTATAATGTAGCGCGCATGCGCCGTCACGCTTCGAGAACATCGGCAGCTGACGCGCGCGCATGCGCCGTTGCGCTTCTCCCCCTTCTCGAGCATTCGACAGCTGACAGTGCATGCGCCGTTGCGCTGTATATATACTCAAGGTCGGCGCTCGCTCGCTCAGTTGCCGCTCGTCGGTTGGTTTGTACGGCGCGTCGACGTCCAAGGTTGCGGTGAAATGAATTCCAACGAATCCACAAACACAATGATCGACGTCCCTTCGACCAGCGCCGCCCTTTCGCATACGTGTGTACGTGTTCACTCATTTACCACCCCCTCCTACAACCACGTCAACCAATTTAGCCATCGACCCAAGTAAGTCGCAATTTAACACCCCATTTCACAACCACGTTAACCAATTTAGCCATCGACCCAAGTAAGTCGCACTCTAACACCTCGTTAACCAATTATATGCTCCGCATCCTCCTCAGTGTTCCCCCGAGGGAAGCTGCGGGCAATTTTTTTTTGTGCTCTGCACTTCGCGTATACTTTTTTCGTGCATTGATTTACACGAAAGAAAACTGTCTGGAATGTTTCGCAGCACGTTTGCGAGAAAATTCTTTCTTGGCTCAAGAAATTGAGTCGCTGCTCGCGTTGTTAGGTTTTAGTTAAGCCGCTACATGCATTCGAATTCACTACATGAGTGAGGCCAGGCCGCTGTGATAGCTCAGTGGTTAGAGCATCGAACGCTTTATACTACATGAGTGATATTTTGAGAAAAGTGCAGCTATGCTCAGTATCCTCATCTGTGCCGTTCGCAAATTGCTTGATGCTCGAACGAGCGCAATAAGAGAAGTGGTGAGTCTATAAAATATGTTTGCTACCTAAAGCGAGGACGTAATCTTTGAGTAAACACTCCTGCCTCGTTAACGGCTTGCATGACACCCCAAACTGGTTTGTTTTTGCTGCGGCAACTGCTTGCGGCTGTTTTTCGCGAAAGAGCGATGTAAAGTGTGCAGGAGAAAATTAGCGCGAAGGTGGGAATGAAAACATAGCCAACATTTTTCTTTTCTTTTTTCAGTTCATGCAGTAGTCAAGTGCTGTGGCAACTACTGCCGTGCGCCGTTGTGCACAGTATGTGTAGTTGTGTGCGTTTATTGCAGTTTCATTCTGCTGCAGTTCCTGTTATATTGTTGCCTATATGTTTATTTCTTGTGTGTAACTTATATTCATGATATGGCAGCTGTATTTTCGCGTCTCGCAGGGAAATGAACCTCTCTTTGTGCCTGCGTTTATCAAACATTAACAAAGTGGGCATGTGCTTACCAAGGCCATTACTTGAAAATAAAAGTTTTCACTCCTCTAATGATTCTCATGTTTTACTTAAATTGTGTGCATAGACACACATTAACACCGTGTGCTTGCGGTGCAGCGCTTACACGAAGGTCATTGATGCATGCAAACGACGCGTTGAACAAAAAAATAAAGTATGGTCTCAGAGATAAGCACTCACGTAGAACTGGTCTCGGAGGCTGTACAATAATCCTTGTCACTAAAAAAAAATGGCCTTCGAGACCGTCTTTTCTGCGGTCTGCCATCTCTGAGGCTGCAAAGTTTCACCACACCCGTTTGGCGCACCGCGAACCCAAATCAGCCGCATGCAGGGGACCCAAGGAAGTGTCCTGTCTTGACCTTTTATGATACTCTATGGTACAATGAACAAAGTGCCAGGCAGCGAGGCCTCAGGCCAGTACCACTGCGGCTGCGCGCCCGAAGGCAGTACCAGAAGCACGGCAAGTGGGCTTGGAACTTCAGGGCTAATACCTAGGGAAATCGTGGGTTTCATCGCAAACACGGTGGAGCGGTTGCACTTCGCGGGGGTGGTACGCGGCTATTGCATAGATAACTTTTTTTCAATTACTTAAGTAGTGCAAAAGGAAGAGGGGGGGGGGTCTCTATTTCAGATTTTATGGCATATAACATGCCTATGCAGCAGGAACCGCTTAAAGAACAGCGGGCGTGGCAGATGAATGCTACAAGCTCGGCGCTTTTGGTTGGTTTGATCGTGAATATAGGTCGAGATTCTTTGGTCAGGAATGTAAGTCGATAGCTGGTTATGAACGACATTTCCGGAAAAACAAGGTCGATCTATATTCGAATAAATACGGTGCCTATTGTTTCAACAGCGGCATTCCTATAACAGTGAACGCTTCCGTCCAGACCATCGAACAAGATCAATGGCTGCAAAAATTGTGGCCATCTGCGAGGTACTTCGTTATATATCAACGCCACCTCCTCGCTGCTGCGCTATACTTTGTGATTAAAACCAGCACCTAAGGTAACTGATTCCATGCTTAAATGGGGGCCATATTATCTTCTTGCTAAAGAAGTAGCTGAACAACACGGTGTATCCCTTAATAGTAGTCATCTTATTATAAGATATCAGTGAATTCCAGGGCACTGCGCAGCCTACAGGAAAACGGGCAAGCCGGTGCGAAGTTAAAGATGACTCATGATAACGCCGAAATATTTGTTATTCTGTTTTCACGACCGAATACCAACACTGTTGTGTACACACTCCTCCAGGACTCTACAGCAGCATATTGGTCCTTACCAAGACACCCTCTCTGACGTCTTCACGAACTCCAGATGTGCATATTGATTACCGCCAACCATGAAGTGGGGCAGTACAAGCTTATGTCACCAGTTACAAATAAGTGTGGCGTTCACTCGTTACGTACACGTTATCGGCCATGCCCCTATTCTGAGGCCTGCATCACCCCTCAGACAACTGAGCATACCTTGTGCGCCTGCCCACGATATATCGTGCCAAGAAATTAGATGGCACCCGTCTTGATGATATGTACCGAGCAGCAAGTTTCTGAAAACGTTCTGTTGGGAATGCCACCTCGTAATGAGCGCGACACTCTCAAAGCACTGACCAAGTTTTCACGAGATACAAAACTCGACAAGAAACTAAAATTGATCCAAGGTCTTCCTTCATCGCCACCTTCTTCATCATCAATAACAACACCTTCAATTTCTACTGTCTTTTTCACCCCCTCTCTTTTTGTGACGCTGAGTAGCAGGCCAGGAAATGGATTCTGGCCAACCTCTCAGCTTTGGTGACAAAAGAAACATTTCTTTTAGGACATTCGCGTGTGCGTCTGACGAGAAGACGATATATATATATATTATATATATATATATATATATATATTAGATATATATATATATATATATATATATATATATATATATTATATATATATATATATATATATATAATGTATTGTGTGTTGTGTGTGGTGTTTGTGTGTGTGTGCGTGTGCGTGTATGTGTGTGATGTAAGAAGGTAGCGATGGTCGGTAGAAGCCGAGGAGGAAGAAGTGAGAATAGAATAAACATTGCGTATAACATGGCGATTAAACAGAATAACATGGCGAATAAACATGAGCCAGGCCACGTCTCCCATTCATCATAGTGTCACACGAGTCAACAGGATGGAGACCTGCCAGCCCCTTCATCAGTCGCACATCATCGACAAGGTTCTCCGCAAGACACCCTGACCATAAATTGGCTACCGAAACAGCACCTAGCAGTACACATCAGCGAGCATCATGACGGAATCAGCGACTGACTTTCCCATCCCCAAGTACACCGGAGCATCGGACGATGGACCTGTACAGGACTGGTTCGACCTGTTCGAGCTCCACGCTACCGCTACATCATGGTCGGAAAGGGAGATGGTCGCCTACTTTACCGACTACGTCTCCGGTGAGGCCTTCAAGGCTATGATGACTGGGAGACGTGGCTTGGCTCATACGCCA